TTTTTCTTCTTTTTTCGTTTTCCGTGTTGTGCTTGACATAAAGAGAAAAAAAAACGAATATATTTCGACCGATAAACTATCACAGTATGAGACCAGCGTATGGCATTCGATTGGTTCGATACATCTGTTCTGTCGCTTGATATTAGCATTAATTGTATTTACTTGTTGAAAAAAAGTACCGCCGCATTCGATTTCAATATCGAGTTGACATTCGATCTGTATCAATGAACATTATTCGATCGTTTGCATTTGTATATCTTCTGATCGAACAAATAAAGTTCAATATAATCGAACTTTGATCGTAAGAACAAAAAGCTTGTTTTGCATATGTATGGCATACGATTATATGCGGTATATGCCAACTGTTATTTGATTTTTCTCCTTTCGCTACGAAAAAAAGCATCTTTACCGAACGCGTGGGCTCTGCATCGTGTTGCGATTCAATTTTCTACTCGAACATTTCGGTTTTTCAATGATTGAAGATTACGAGAGAAAAAAATACAGCGTACTGTTTGTTGACGAAGAAGCCACACATGAACGGCGAGAATTAATAAGACTGCGAAGACCGAAAATCGCTATTATTTCTTGTGTTCGACCAGAAATCTCAGATACCAATGTGTGGTTACCATTATCGAATTTATTCTTGATTTTTTAGTTCGGTTTTGCTATTGCGGTAAGCGCCCTGCGACGTCATTTATTCTTCGTTTCTTTATCATGATATATATATTTGTTTTTTGCTTTAAAAACTAAATTTATTCTTTTGATAGAATAAGAAAGCAAACATATTGTACATGAGTTTGCTTTCAAAAAAGAGAAAAGAACCATTGATAGATTTTTTTCTTTCAATATTTGTAACTATGAAGAAGAAGAAAAATCGATGAATGCAACATATAAAAAAATCATTCGTCATGCTAATTTTCATTTTTTGAGTTTTACAAAAGGTTATAAACACACACACACGAATTTTACCTTTCGCATATGTGTACGTCTTATCTGCACTTAAAGAAAGAGAAAGAAAGGAAAAAAAACGATGAGATGTCTCAAATGCTCTTTCCACACCAAGCCAAAAACGAGACTCTTATTTTTTTTTGCACCTATTACTTATATTTGTATATATATTTCTCTCTTGTCAGGAAGAAGTGTAGCTAGTCAAAAGAAAAATAATGAAAGAGAAAATGCCGTCGACCACTGGTGGTGGAAATGGTATTTGTTATTATTCTTGTTCGACGACGCAATACAGCATAAAAGTGTACTTCACACTTAAGAGAAAAAAAGGGAGGAGAAGACGAGATTTGTTTTCTTGCTCGCTGTCTTTCTCCCTCTCTCTTTCTTTCTTTTTTAATAAGAAAATAAAACAGACAAACAAAACGACTGCCTACTTTTGTAGCTGACGGCAAACACCTGAGAACAAGTGTGAGATTGCATTTCATCATTAGCGTAGCTTTCTCTCTCTCTCTCTCTTTGTGGTAAGTACTAATCTGGCTTAGGTTATCAATTCATTTGACGAAAGCATATAGGCGAGAAAGAAACATTGATGATCTGTAAATGAATTGATCGCATAATGTACATTGTTTACCTATGTTGGATAGGAATGAAAATGTCTGTTCTTTTTCTAGTTATTATCGGCTTATTTACTTTTCATCTCCTATTTTTGAAATGGGACATTAAAAACAACAAGACACACATACATCACGTTAACTAGTAGACAGAACAAAGTTGTTTTTCTCTAACAATGACAATCCGTCAACAATATGCCAATGAAGAATTGGTTCATAAACTTCGTTCGATGCTGAATGACTTGCCAACACTTCGAACACGTGCGATGAAAAAATTAGAACATTGGCGGGAAGCGGCCATTAAACGACTTCTAGCTCGACAACGTGAATTAGAGAAGACTCTTCTAGATAAATTCGAACGACTCGAATTTGATACTCAACTATTCGTCGAAAAGACCGAACGAAAGCGTGCGCAAAATCAACGACGTTGGCAAAGCGAACCATTAGATTACTTAAACAAAAGCGAAATCGACCGCATCTCTACAAGTTTACGCTCAATACGAGAAGAATTAGAACAATCGAAGTTAATATTAGCCGGAAATCTTGCAAATGATAACATAGGTGAACTGTCATCGGAAACCGTTCGACACGAAAAATTAGCGGAAACATCAGCGCGCTATGCAGATCATATATCACCGAAAACAGCTGTACATACAAATTATAATTCATCTTCAACAGATAACGATCTTAATTTAGAATTGAAACGTGTTCTAGAGATATGTACCAGTCCTCAATGTTCATCGACTTCATTATCGGCCGATGAGGTAACGATTCTATTTCAACCATTCTTATCTCTCACATCTGAATATCTCGATTTTCACCGCGTTGTTGTTGTTGTTTTTTTCGTTCTTAACCACAAGAACACTAGAGATTTGGTTTCGATAAACGAAAGACTCTACTCGCATGATTAATTAAAAGTCAAAATCATTTTTCGGGCACTTTAACTAATCAAATATGAAAGCAAGCGCGCAGCCAGTCGAGAAATCTAAAGAAAATATTGAGTATTTGATAATGGGCTTAGGTGTATTTCGATTACGAAGAATAAAGTTTGCTTATACCTTGATTTTTATATATCTTTAGCAAACGCCTTTACAATCCCTCGATAGTGTCGAGCACTCCAATGATGCGAAAGCAAAACAAGCAATGTCGACAAAAACAGGTACAACATACTCACAGAGACGGCCAGATGATAGGAGCCGTCGACATGCACGTATTATAACAAACGTTCTATCGGAACAACAAGAAAACGAAATATCATCGCCAACGTCGTCATCAACAACAACCACAACTGCATCCAATAATAATCATGAAACATTTCCATTCGAATCATTTGATGATTCCATGAGGCGTTTTCAACGATTACGCGAAGTACAACAAAATCTACGTTATAAATACGATGAACCACCAACTCCGCCGGCGAAAGTGGGAGTAATTACTCAACCGATCAACATACCGATCGAACGTATCATTACACCAACGTCCTCGAATGAGAACAATGTTAGTCATCAGCAACGTCAACGCGACCATGGTGTCAATACGAGCAACAGAACACGCGATCGAAAATATCGTTCGAAAACATTGGAAGGAAATCAATTACGTGCGGTAGATAATCAAATCTATGGATGTTCAACATCGTCATTAGCGTCAAAAGCGAAACAAGATACACACAATCGAGGTGATTTACATCGGCATCGTTCGCACCGTCTATCATTTCGTCGTTCGACGGATGATGTTCGAAGTGCACAACTACATCTACGAAGACATCTCGATGCCAATGACTCAAATTGGAACGATATATGGTTAGAAATCGGACAAGAACATTGGACGAACCTGTTAGAGAATGGTTGGAGGCCAACGACAGACACGACAGGAGTCAATCTTGTTTCCTTTGCTGATTCAGGTATGAGACAAGTTCAGTGGTGATTTATCGAAGAGAAAACATTTCTCTATGCATTTAGATGATTATGGTTCGAGTAAACAAACAACTGACGAGAATTCAGTAGTTGACCTTTATGAACAAATAACACGAAACGAATACATATCCTTATTCGAAAAATTGAGCTTTAGTTACGGACGAACAATTGATTTAGGAAATGAATTTTGGCGCTTTCTAGAAATTAGTGGCAGTCAACATCTATGTCTGTACCATCAGCTTAACAAACAATTTATCTTATTCAAACCAGATACTTCTCTTTTATCATTCCAATGGCCATATGATGGCATCATTGATATATCATGGTCCAAATCTAACAATACCTGGGTAGTAGCAACACAAACACAAATAGTAAGTATATGTTTTGATCGTTCGAGTGAAATATTCGACCTTGACTTTCACCTTCTAGACAATATGCAATCGTTCATTCAGCAGAGTTCTACAGACAGTGGACATCAATGGCGATTGGCCAAAACGTATCACATCATGTCGATCGTCTATTTTTCACACTTACAAACTTCCGGCATCATCGAATACAAAAACATATAGTTCATCTTACAGTCGTTCATCTTACAAAGATCGTCCACAATTTCTTCTTGAACGTTACGATTACAAATTGAAATCGATATGTAAACATATTCTCGAATCGTCCACCATCTGGGACATCGAAGCAGACGATCTAACCGATCATTTAGCTGTTCTATGCGATTTTGCTCTACTTATATTCGACTATCAACTGAACTTATTACGTCAAATTGAAGTAACTGGTTTCAAAGTAAGTACAGATCATTTTGGCGGTTGGTTAATTGCGGATTATAATGCATCGTGTATATGGCAAATACGACGAAATGAATATTTAAAAGCGATTAAAATCTTGAACGTCGAACGGCCATGGTCAGTTATTCTTGATCGAACAAATTGGACATTAGTAACACTGAGTGAAACAACAAATCGCGCAAAACGTTTATTATTTTACACAATGAAAAATATTCCAGAAACGCTTCTCCAAACTGATTTATCTTGCGCACAGTCTCAATTGTCAATGTCATCATCATCGTCGATATCAGAATCATTACTATAGAATCGAAATGTTGTCTGTCTCTTTGTAATAACGAAATTTTCTTTATCTTTTTCTTATTCTCTTCTTTTTCTCTCTTGATGCTTTCTTTATTTTGCCATTCTTGTTACTGTTTCTAACTAATTCTATACCGAGAAATGTTTTTCTTCTAGTTTATATCCGCCATGAAATGTAAGGAAGTAAAAATTCTTCCTTTTTCTTTTTTAACCGTGATTCTAGTACATAGAATAAGCAGTTGTGTTTATTTTGATTTATTCTGTATGAATTAAAAAACGACTATTTTTTAATCTGACCCTGTTTGAACATCTCTTCGTTAGTAGAACAAGACGATCGTATCGAATCATTCAAGTTAATATATATTCAATATTTGTAAAGCTTTCTAGGACAAAAAAATGTACGAAACAGAAACAAAAGAAAAAAAAACAGAAAGGAACTATTCTTTTTCACATGCTGGCGCATCTACTTGCATAACGATCTCCACGACGTCGTCGTTGGAATCGTCCATGTGTTGAGAAGATCGTTCTTCTTTGGATTCGGCTTTGACTCGTTTTCTTGGATATAGTTTCAAATGAAAGTCTTTCACACACGAGGAGATATGTTCGTATTTCTTCTTCATCAGTAGGTATTGATTATTCAACTCTTTGTATTTGGCTTCGAATTGTTGTTCACGAGAATTAAGTTTCGCGTTCAATATGGCATTCTCTGTTTGGCATTTACCTTTAAAAAGTACAGATTGTTTTTATAGAAACATGACACTTTTCGTTTCTTCTCTCACCCAAATCAATTTGTGCTTGTTCGAGACAATCTTTCACGATTTGAATTTCGAGTAAATGATTGGCAAGTCGATTTTCTTGATTGTGACAATCAATGGGCTCATCTTTGACTTTATCTTTTGGTATCGTTGCCGATGTTTCAGATAGTTGTTTCAATCGAGCTTCATAGGATTCAACCGAAACTGCGTGCTCTTGTTTTAATTTGTTTGTTAACGCTTGCTCTGCTTCTTGAAAATCCAAACAAAACGTTCGAAGTGAAGATCTCAGTGCTTTTCCTACCGAATTTTTCGCGTAGAACTTGAAAGGTATCATAGGCCGTTCTCGAATATGTCTGGGCTTCGACTAGAGACTTTTGAAGGTTGGCTATATCATGCTTCAAAGCTTGATTTTCTTGAACTAATTGCTCGTAAGAGGGAGCAGCTGGATTGTTTGGAGAATTCTGCTTTTGTTGACTGATTGGCATTAGATTTGGTGTCGTTTGTGTACGAGATAATGATGATGATGCGTTGGGTCGATCTTCATGATAAAAACGCATAGCTACGTGAGTACCATTGATAATGTGATTACGATGACTGATGATAGAAGCGACACTGGATACGTCGGCAAATTTCACTAAAGCATCTAAAATAGAAAATCATGCTCATCAGTAATACACTAGAGAATGTCATCGTCTTCGAAGAATAGAGACAACTAGACATTTCGTAATAGACAAGATCGATTTAACTAGCGAACTTACAAAGGTCTTTCTTTGGTGTTTGTGAAGACGATTTAATAAAACATCGAAGGACTGTACCAAACTTTTGACAATAAGAAGTTAATACTGATTCAGACAAGTTATGTAGTTTCGTGATAACTACTGTTGATTCGCGATCAAAGAACATAGTATCTATTGAAGAAAAACGAAAACAATTGCAGTTTTAAAAACAACGAACGTGCCAATGAATCATCTGTATATATATATGCATACAAAGAAGAAGAGAAGATATTATAAACGATTGTCGTTCCTCTCCAGACGCATAGCACGCGACTATTAGATTAAACTGAATTCTCTACGATCGATTGAATCGATAGAGAATATGAATAAGGAAACATCACTGTTCACTTGAAAGGATGATTACAAAGGTCAAATAGATATATTATTAATGTTATTAATGGTTCAGTCAAGTTCAATATTCTTTCTTTCTTGTCGTTAAGTCGGCAGAACAGACGATGAGGGTGTGATAGTATGTTGCGTGACACCGTAAACAAAACAATTTTCGAATGAGTTGGTAATAAGAAGCTAGCTTTCCCCGTTTTTTTTTTCGAATGCTACTCATGCTTGTTGATCGACGAAGAGCGGCATCTATTCAAATCAAGTTTCACATTGTTTAATTGCAAACTGTCAGTTTATTTTTCGAAAATACACGTGTGATTACTGAAAAAAAATTAGTTAAATCTGCTTTGTTAAAACGCAAAAAAATACAAACCACATCCTATGAAAATATAAGAAGAAAAACGAATAAAGGCATGCATACAAGTCTTTTTTTTCTAAGCACAAACAATTTTTGTGTTATCGACTGAATCTCTGTTATGTTATGCGAATCCACTACCACCTGTATTGAGCATATGTGGTAGTATTGGTCTTGGAGCATGAGGTTGAGTAAATGGTGATGGGCTCATCGGTGAACTACTCGTAAGATGAAGTGGTGCTGGGTTGCCTAACGTAGTTGTCGTGGGTGAACCTATCGAACTTGTGCTAGCTAGTGGTCTATAGGAACATAGCTATATAGTAATTTATTTCGATGCACAAATATGTCATTCTTACCGAAGTGGAATGCCTCTTACCGGCCCACGCACTATTGGATTGTGAACAGGAGCAGTTAAATTGGTTGAATTTGGTACGACGGTTCCAACAGGTCCTGTTGGAAACTGAGATGAGGTAGAAGAAATCGGCGCTAATTTTACACCTCGAGAATTTCTTGAATGAAAACGATCTGTGGGAGTCACTCCAGGCGCTTGGCCATCGCCTTTGGTTGAGCCTTTAACAGTAGTACGGCTGACACGTCTTTTTTCTGTTCCGCCGCCACCACCTCGACAATATCTGTACAGAAGAATTGCAGCGATCAGAGCAGCCAATAGTATTAAAAAGCCAACTATTCCAACCACCAAGCCAACAATTAGTCCAGTGCGGTTTGAATCGGAGTTATTTTGATTACTAGATTGAAGACCGGAACCGCCCTACAAAACAGAATAAATCATAGAAGAACATAGACGATATGGATCAATAAGAATACATTCTAGTACTAATGTTTCTATAGTTTATGTTAGTAGAGTAAGGTGTCGGTAAGAATTATAAGTGGACAGTAAATACACACGTAAAACCAATTAGGTGAACAAACCAACAAATGAATATGCTGTTATCAGAATTTAATATAGTGTGTTTCTGAAATGTTACTGATAACTGGTCACATTCTACTTGTGCGTTACCACTTACGTCTGTGCTATTCGTATTGGATACTGATGCGGTAGTTGTTGTTGTTGTTGTCGTTGCATTGCTGGAAGATGATGTATTACCCGGATTAACACTCGAGCCAAATGGTGATGAAGTTGTTGTTGTTGTCGTTGCATTACCTCCTGTAACAGCGGTGGTAGTTGTGGTATTAGAAGCGGCGGCTGCTGTTGTTGTTGTCGTTGCGTTACCTTCTGTAACAGCGGTGGTAGTTGTGGTATTAGAAGCAGTGACTGTTGTTGTTGTTGTCGTCGTAGTGGTATTTGTTGAAGTCTACATATACGTTTGAGTAGTAAAAAGCGAAAGAATCTTAAAGTTGCGTTTCATATGTAGCCGACAACATGGGGAGATATGTAGACACATTTCCATTTAGATTTGTTTTTCGAAAACAAGTGAAAAGAAGTACAGTGAGACATCACATGCAAAGATGTATAAGAAAGCGAGAAGTTTTAGAAGATTTAGGCGCAGATAGAAATATGGCAACATTAAAGTGATTGAATAGACATGCAAAGTACAATCATAGTCGTTTTCGCAATATGTTCCCTTTGTGTTAGACTTACTAAGAAAGTTCTATCAAAAACTTTTGGAAAAGAGTGTAACATACCGTGTTAGAACATAATCCATTTGAAAAACTGGCACGACTTGGGCAACTGGCAAGTGATAAGTTTCCAAAGCTAGCTGTATCCGCTTCATTTGCACATGGATACAAATCTGTAATATTTATTCCCTGGGCTAGGTATAACTGCTTTAAATTGATTGAACTGCAATTACAATTGAGTCGAATGTTAGTAGTTGAATCAAGGCTGGTGAGTATGCTATTCAATGTTTGGAAGTCATTACATAAACCGTATGCGATCACTGTAGTGTCATCAATGATAACTGTACTGTCTGTCACAGATTCGGGAAGGACAATAGTTGCTGTTGAGTTTGTATTATTGGCCAATGTTGAATTTTGCGGGTTAAGAATATTCGTGACATTTATTGGATTATTATCCAGATTGATTGTTATATTTTTTCGTGTATAAATGAAAAAATCAAGGTACGTGATGGAGTTATTTCGTAGGTCGAGATAATTCAAAGAAGTCGGTGTTGGAGTAAGAACTGAATACGGTATCATTGTTAACATATTTGACGACAAGTCTAATGATGTCAAGTTTTTGAAATTACCGTTTGAGATGCTGACAGACGTTAACGTATTGTGTGATACCGATACTTTGGTAAAGTAGTCGAGACATGGAAATGTTGTGTCGCTGAGTGCTGTAAATGCTTGGTAACTTAAATCAATTTGTCGAGATGGTAAGGAGCAGAGATAAGTCGGAAGTGACGAAGCAGCCGGCGTGAATGTTACACGAGTCACGCTACTCATCGATGTGTTTGAGAGTAATGCAGCAGGTATCCGAGATGCGTTGTTGGATGTATCGTTGGTACATTGAATATTCACCGTAGTCAGATTTGTAAAAGTAAAGAAACACGTGCCAGGATTCATATCGACAGTTGCATAATGTGGATAAGTCGACTAAAATTTACCAAGCGAAACAAGAACGTGTTGAATTAGACATTGGAAAACTAAGAAAACCTACCGCGTTGAATGATGGTGCTGACATATTGGTTTTAGCTGTAAGTGCACTCTCGTCACTTTCGTTTATTCTGCAAAATCGAGGATATGTTTGAGTAAACGGTGCAGTGGAAATCGTATCGAATAAAGAATTGGCACAGGAAGAGTTGAAGAGTCTTGTGTAAGTATTGTTCTGCGAGCTATTGGAACAAATGGTATTCAGTATTGGATAAGTGGTACTAACACTTAGAACAGGCGTGGCTTGCTTCAAGAAATAAAGTTGAGCGCAACTGCAATCAATTACCGTCGTACCAAAGTCGAGAAAGCCGAGTTTTTTAGTAAAATAAGGCTCGGGTGGGTCTTCACTATTTCCGAAATACCATTGAACAACTTCTTCACATTGATTATACATTTCATAGACAACATCGGTAAAGTTTATTGTTGGCCCATTGCCGGTTAACGACACTTTCCCTGTCATACTTCGAGTCGTAATCGAAGAGTAAAGATATTTATTGGTAATTGAAGTGATTTGGTTGTAGCTGAAATCTGCACTTGTCTTTACGTCTAAAATCCACAATTCAACAGCTGTTAGTTGATTATAAGCAAAATTGATAATCTCTAATGTTGAAATATCATAAAAAGCATTGGCTGGTACCTCCGTAAGGTTATTATGTTGAAAGTAAAGATTTTTCAAAGTCGGCGTGTTGTATATCAAATATGATGGAAACATAGTGATTTGATTGTAACTAAGGTCCAGTGTGACTAAACTTGACAAGCATTCACTCAAATATCCTGTTGGATCGACGCTGTTAATTTTATTATTTGCAAAAATAACTGTCTAGAATAAGCGAGCAAAGTATACGGAGCAGAAGTATTTAATTTACTTACTATCAAATTTGGTATCATACAAATATTTGGAGGTATGGATGTAAATGGACCTGGTAGTGACTGACTGGCATTTACGGGATTTGGTAAGCCTTGTCCAATGAATACAGTAATGTTTTCCAATTGATCGCTAGTTAAATCGGACAGTCGAAGCATTTGATTACTGACATTCTGTGGACATGCGAACGTCATGGTTTGTCCAATGATAGATCGATTACATTCATGTGTGCCTAAATATGTCTATGTGGAGGAAGAAAGTAGTTTAATCGATTGAAAAAGCACGGAAGAAACGAAATACTTACTTGCCATAAGAATGGCATTATCAACAAAATAAAAGCGTAATTCATTGTGTTTTCTCGTCTATTCGATTGTCTTTTACATAATACAAATGTTCACCGGATAGCAAAATCTAGAATTAATCAGCAAAGACTCGTGTCGATCTCTGTCGAGAAGGAAAGAGAATTAATATACAGTTTTTATTTCTCAAAAGGATTTGAAAATGACTAGTTATGATTGATTGACAGGAGCAATCTTTTGAAACGAAGTCTGCACTTATTTAAATACATATATGATGCATTCAATTTCATACAAGTTTAAAAAAAGAAGAAAAAAGCCGAAGGAGGGGGAAAGAGAAAGAAAATTACGCTTGTAGCAACAACCATGGAGACGATCGCGATTCTTTGATTACGTTTAGTTTGTTTTCAAATTTGTATCTCACACAGCAACGAACTATGATGAAGCAACCATCAGATATGCTCTCTTGGTTCCTAAGGATGTATCATTTGAAACTGCTACCGTTGAAATGATTAACAATCGTATCTAACGAGAAAAAATGTCTTGTTTTTTGTTGTCTTTGGAATTTTAAGTATATTTGTACTTTCTCTCTCTACTCCAGTTGACTATGTCAATAATTTAGTTTGCTTTCAAGCAAAACTTCTAATGAGTTCAAAGACCATACTCTGCTGGAATTTCATTAAGAAACATCTATTGCTTCAATCAGAAGTAGCGGATGAACGCATGGAAAAACACTGCAATGTGAATTGTATCACGAATTGGCTTTTTATGACGATACTTACTTGAACAAGGAGCAAAATAATTCGAAACAACATATTTTCGTCATAACAAAAGAATAATATTTTTCGGAACACATGGAAACTAAACAGTCACAGAAGTCATGACAGCAAAAATATTTCTATGTTTGTTTGTTCTCGCACTCATCGTCTAATACCTTTCTTTAGGAAAAAAATGCCTCTCGTATATAGAAGTGTGCTTTTTGAAGAAAAAAGAAAAAATTTCTTTTGTCGTTACCGTTCGAAACATCGATTTTTACTCTCGATTTGTTATCTAAGGTAAATAAAAAGAAAAAAACCGACCAAGTACAATCAAATTGATCGATTTGCCGGAATCTTGAACGAAGCACTCTTCTACTCGTACTTCTCTAGTTCAGCCCCACCTCTCTCGAACGATTTCATTCATATGAAACAATGAACAAAAAGAAGATAAATTTCCAACTGAAACATATAATGAGATTAAACAATAATAGAAGATCGTATAATAATAATAATAAGAAAGAAGTCCTAAAATTGACATGCTTGTTTACATATATGTAAATAAATTCGTCCGTGATTCCGCTGGAATAATAATACATCAAGATGCATTCAATCGAGGAAATTTGTAGATTTCTCTAAATGTATCCGATGAGTTAAGCATCCAGACGTTCGTTTCGTTTCTTTGGCAACCATAGTTAAATTTTATTGTGTAAACGTGTCATTACTTTCAAACCCACCGTTAGTGATGACGGACTATCGGAATACTACTTAGAATCTTGTCTCTATAAGCTGAAATATGCCATCAGTATGTCCTTCTGTATCCTTCAGGCGCAGGTAAACAACAAATTATTGACACAATGTAAAAGAATGGGTTATTCATCCTTTCTCACATTATTCTCGCTTAATTTTATCAGTCTGCTGCGTGTGCGCGTGTTTTTTCACTTTCTAATTGCATGATGTTAGTGTGTTGTTTACGAGAACGAGTTATTTATCGATATAAGTGGGAGTATAAACAGTGGTAGAAAACAAGAAAGTGAATACAGGTAAGAATCATTCCTATTCGTATATTATGCACGATCAATGGTATTTCGGAGTATGTTAATTACGTCGTTAGATTTCATTTCCACGAGTATGAACTGTTTTTCTTTAGAGTGAGCAGATTTTAGATGGACTGTATTTGATCGAAGTTCTCCAATCGGGCAAATTTGTCACGTTTTCACCGGAACGTTCGACATTAGTGCAGCAAGATCAAAATCTTGAAGTAAGTGTACAGATTGTTTACTAATTCAAAACTTTTTTTCCTTTCAAAATGGAATAGAACGATGGTGAATCACAAATCTTTGAAATTCAGCATATTGGCTACCGAGATTTCATTATTCGACATCATGTAACCGGTTTTGTACTTACTGTTCATAAGTAGTTATTTCTCGCCTCATTTACATACAGCTGAAATTGATTTTTTTTTCTTGTTTAATAGCGGTTCACCGTCACCGTGTGCGCCAGTTGTACTTTGCCGTTATTTAGGAGCCCGTACACCATATCAAACAGTCAATTTCGAACGATCGAATGATCAATCAAATGACATGTTAATATACATTAAACATACACGTATGGTCCTTGATATTGATGGTGGGAGTCAAAATTCGAACGCTCGTCTCCTTCAAGTTCCATTGAAAAAACATAATGCTGATCAGACCGCTCAACGATTTCGTTTACATCGTGTTAGTGAGAAAATCTCGCAGCAATTAACGCCGACAATTCCAACTGGATTCTTTCGTTAATTTGCAACTTTTCTTTTTTCGAACTGTCAGATGAATACGTTGTTAAATATCCTGGTGCTTGATGTATTTTAATTTTTATAAGAAAAAAAAAAGAGAAGAAAAGATGAAAAGAAACTACTTGTTCGATTAAGCTTTATTAATAATGAAGACATCGTTGGGTTTCACTTGTTGTTTGCCTATACCTGGAAGGAATTCAGATGAATACTTAAATGGTAAACTACCTTTTGTTTGCTGTTTTGTGTTCATGTTTGATGGTGGTCGACTAGTAACTGTAACTCGTCGAATGGTTTCGTCACTTGTCGTCGAGGATGTTGATGATGATGAAGACGAAGATGATGACAGAGATGAATGTGATTCTTGTTTTTTCGTTGGGCTGCTTTTCTTCTCGGAATTCGTTATTGCCTCATCTTGACTTGCTCGTTTCGAAGTCTTCTGTGAAGGACGATGATCGAACAAACGACTCCAACTTAAATTACGCATGTAGGAATCGAACGATGACGAATTGTAAAGATTCGAATGGAGTGGTTGACGATGCTTTCCTTTTGGTTTGCTTTTGCTCATGTAAGGAACGATCGCGTAATTGAATGGTTGAGGAGGTAAAGGAGCACGTGTTGAAGGAGGAGGATTACGATATGGTGATGGACCATAGTAGGGAGATTTTTGTGTAAGTACCAACTGGTCTTTGGCTGGAAGAGCTTGATGAGGCATACGGATTTGAGGCATCATTGGTGACACTTGTTGATATGGTACGGCCATTACCAAACAGTTTGGAGGTAATGGTGTTCCATTGATAATAGCTTGGACGGCTTGAGACATCGCCGCTTGGATGTAAGGAGTAGGCGTTGGGTACGGATAGTTCATAGTTAGTTGAGGGTGCAATTCAAATGAATGCGAAAGTTCTTCTCTCTTTCGTTGTCTATTTTAGTGTTCACACCTTTTTGAAACACGTCTAAAACGAGAAAATGTCCAATAGATATTGAAATGTGTTCTATACCTTTTTTAAAATTCTCATCATGATCAACGCAAGGCTGCGATTTAATCTCTTACCCTCAAACTTGCCAATGTACAGTGAACAACTCTCCCTCTCTCCTACAACTATAGTGAATCTCAACGTCGTAGATCTACGAATATCAACGAGAAAAAAAGAATCTATTGAAAGCATTTGGAACTCCTTTTTTCTTTACTGCAGGTATTCTCCCTATTCAATGAACGATAGGTCATGCCTCATTTCCTTCGCTTAAGTGTACGTACATCCTACCTTGACTTCTCTCGTTCTTTCTTGCGCTTCTGCTCATATATTCAGTTAGCCTTCGAGAAATTTTTCTTTTCTTTCGATAATTGTTATCTATCATAACGTTGAAAATTGCACCGAACGGCAATCGAATAACGTTCATATATATAAAAAAAAAACAGTATCTTGTCATCACCATTCATATGACGTGAAATCTTGATAGAGAATGCGTATGAACAACTATATGTACATATTAATTAGATATCAGATGTGTCATTTCGAAAAATCAAAAACGACGTAACAGTTGCTGATGGTTTCGATGTATTCTTCCGAAAGAAACGCTTCTAACGTCTAGAACATCCTTTTTTTGTTCTCGAACGAGGCATTCAGAGAAAAAAAGAACGCTGAAGAGTCTTGAGCTACCCTTATTGTCTCTTGGGAAGCATTCTTTGCCGCAGACTAAAAACAAAACTCAACAGTCTCAGACGCATGATGAATTACATCAAACAACGTTTGTCATTAGGAGATCTTTCCGATGATTGCATCAGTCAAATTAACAATACATCGAAAAGATCGGTTTCTTCGATATCAGAATCGAAGTTTTCTTCAACTAACAAATCGAAAATATTGTTTATTATTGATGAACCTTATGTCGACTGGTGAACAGGAATGAATGGCATGTTGTTTTTGTATCTATTTTTTGCTATCTTAGGAAGAAATATTTCAAAAACAGAAAAATTTTTGCCGATTACGACATCCGAGTTGAACAGGTTTTATTTGATGTTTAAATGTTGTTCGTGTGAGAGACGTATTTTTGAATATAATCTATTCTATATCGAACTCTTTCAGGCGACTTTTAAAGAAATCAACTTATCTGCGTATTCGAATGGTGGAATACTGATCAATATCAATACGTATCGAAAAGGAATTCCTATTGTTCGGTATGAAATGAAACTTCGAATTTCTTTATCTATGAAATACTTGCATGAAGATCATTCCATCCGGATTTTGTCCTCGTTCGACAGTATGTCAAAGATGTGAATGTTAATTGGATCAGTATTATTCTCGGCATGCAGTATGGAGCGGTGCCAAGTGTCAATTCAATGAAAGCTCTATATAACTTTCAAGATAAACCTTGGATTGTATGCTTTAGTATTTCTTTTCTTCGTGGATATTCTTTTGTTTTGAAAACAGTATGCAGAATTACGGCAAATTCAGCGACGACTCGGCGAGGAACAGTTTCCATTGATTAATCAAGCTTATTATCCAAATTATCGCAAAATGGTAAATAGATTTACTGAGTTATACGTGATTGTCGTTTCATTTGTAGTTTATTTCACCACCACATCCATCCGTCATTAAAATTGGTCAAGCACATCAAGGCTTAGGAAAAGTATCTGAGCTTAAAAAACAATTATTCAAATGTTTCTACTGTTTTAAATGTAGATTTTGGTCAAAAACACGGCGGACTATCATAAAATAATGAGCATCATTGAAATGAGTCAATGCTATTCAACAATTGAACCATATATCGCTGGTCGATGTGATATTTTATTACAGAAGATCGGTCAGCATTATAAAGCATTAAGGTATCGTCGATTATGACGAGAACTTCACAGAATAGAGAGAAGTGTGAAAACCAATGTTAGCGAATGTCGAGAGAATACTAAAATAAGACTAAGGTAACGAAGAAAATATCGAATGTCAAGTATGAACTCATTAGTAATCATCGACAGGATGTGTGGATGTGTAAACTATTCAGTAGGCTACTTTCTAATTAGCATCATTCTTCATTTAGACGAAGATCATTATCGAATAATTGGAAAGCGAATATCGGTTCGTGTATCATTGAAGAAATTCCATTGACCGAAAGGTTCGAATTGACAAAACGACATTCCATTTTCGATCTTTGTGTTCAAGATATCGTTTATGGCTTGACGAAGTCAGCCAATTGTTTGGTGGACTGGATCTATGTGCGATTGAATTAGTTCAAGCAAAGGATGGAAGAGAATATATCATTCAGGTGAATGATTGTACAATGCAATTAATCGGCGAAGATCAAGAAACTGATCATCAACGAATCGCTGATTTAATCTTACATAAAATGGAAATCTTCTGTCGACCGAACGAACAAATGACACTTTTAACGTAGATTACAAAACTGTTCTTAGTAATCTTGACTTTTGTCTGTTTATTCAAAGGCGAGCACCAAGTTTGATTCAATTGCCTATATTTCTATCGGATTATGAACAAAAGCACTTTTCAAATGAACATGTTCGTTGGCGATTACATCGAAAACATGTATAAATGACCAGTTTTTTTGTGTCTATTTAACATTTGGATGTTTAGACGACCAACCGTCTAAGTAGCTTCAAACAAGCAGTTTCGAACTTTTTCAATCAAATGTATGTGTTGCTCTACATCTAATTTTAGTTTATTTGAAAGGAACTTTTTGTTTTAGAATGACTTGAAGCAAAACTGGACTCAGTTGTGTGTTATTTCCGAGAGAGAAAAAACACGTAAAATGTCGGTTTGATTCTCATTTCATAATAAAACGAACATCAATCAAAATACTTCCTTTTGCTTTTTTGTCGAACACGCATTCTTTCGTTGTAATACGAAGGGTAATAAATCTTATTTTTTTGCATCAAATTGTACGCGTTTACGATGTTTACTACACATGTGTAGACAAGATATTATGTTATGTTTCATTGAGGGCAAAGTGCAGTCAACGAAAAAGGTAATGCTTCTTTTTTCTCTTCTCTTAGTATCGACTGTAGACTATACGTACATATAATGTGTGTATAAAAGTCACAATCACACCCCCATCGACTACTTCTTTCTCTCTCTCTCTCTCTCTGATTTATTTTTTCGTTTGTATGCTTCGAACAAAATTACGGTAGTGTGTTGCTGACACTGATTTTATATTTTTCTGTTCGGCTTGAAAGAAAAAGCGTGCGCAAGTATTTCGACTGAATAGCTTACATTTTTATTTCGATTTCAACCGGTTACTATGTTGTCAAAATCTTCGCGCATATGTCGTTCGTATCGAGTCATACCCTTATCCATAATCAATGCTTCGTCACGTGCTTCTTCAACAGCAGTCAAAGCTGACGATCGTCCAGTAAAATTAACGCAAAGCTATTACCATCATGCATCCAGTGTACCTTTGTTGTATCATACAGTTGGACAGCATTTGAATATTTTAGCTGGGGAATACCCCGATCATCGATGTTATACATTCAAAGGTGAACGCAATAAATCTTACACATACAAATCATTCCTCGATGAAGTCGATAGTTTAGCGACGCGTTTAATCGAGCTGGGCTTCGAGAAAAATGACCGGCTAGCTGTCTGGTTACCGAATACATCTGAGAATTGTGCACTGACGTATGCAGCATCGAGAGTTGGTGTCATCAAAGTAAGTAAAACTTGGGATAAGGACGCGGTTTATTGTTCGTATTAAGGTAAATATTAATCCTGCGTATATGGGACGAGAATTACTCTATTGTTTGAATAAAGTCGCTTGTAAGGGTTTAGTGATGCGACCCAATGTAAAAATTATTGACTGTATTAAAATAATCAATACGATAATTCCTGAACTTAGTGAAACAAAAGGTGAAATCAATTCGAAATCGATTCCATCATTGAAACATATTATTCTAACACCGGGTGATAACGGACAAACAATAACTACACCACCGGGTATGCATTGTTATGTTGATCTTATACGCAAAGGTGGTAACAGCAAACGCGATGAATTACAAGCGCGTCAGGCACACTTAGACGGTGATACTCCACTTTCGATTTTTTATACTTCGGGCACGACAGGACAGCCGAAAGCTGCTACTTTAACAAATTTTAATATGTAAGTTCGTTTAGAGAAAAGTTTCTGTTTTTTGTTTATCTATATACGAATCATTTTCTCTAGGCTTAATAATAACTTTCATCTATGCTATATTTATCCTGAACTAATGAGCCGGGTTTGCTGTCCGATACCCACATTTCACATATTCGGTGAAATTGCCGGAACGTTGAATATCAATGTTCCGAAATATTTTACGACTTTTCCAAGTATATTACCAGATACGTTGGAAACCATGCGAACTGTTCAGGAGGAAAAGTGTACAGCGTTGGTTGGCGCACCGATTATTTTTCGAGACATACTTGCACATCCAAAAAGAAAAGAATTCGATATGAGTTCTCTTCTTTTCGGCATCTTAGGTGCCGCACCTGTTAATCCGGCGTTAATCGAACAATTGGAGCGTGAAATTCCGATTAAGACAATTTCACAAGGATTCGGTCAAACGGAAAATGCGGCATCGATGGCAATGAGTGTATTTGCTGAAAATGACAAACAACGGCGGTATTCATCAGTTGGAAAAGCTCTACCACGACTTGAAATGAAAATCGCAGATGCAAACGGAAAAATTTTACCTGTCGGTCAAGAGGGAGAGATTTGCGCGCGAGGTTTCAACATAATGAGAGGTAAACTAGTTTATTTCATGTAAATTTTAAAAAATACATTCGGTCAATCTTAGGCTACTTCAATGATGACGAGAAAACACGTGAAACAATCACTCCGACTGGTTGGTTACGAACCGGCGATTTAGGTGTTATGGATGACCAAGGTTATGTTTATTATCGTTCACGCCAGAAAGAAATGGTTATCGTTGGTGGAATCAATGTTTATCCAGTTGAGGTTGAAAATTTTCTCCTAGAACATCCAAGCATTGGCGAGGCACAAGTCTTCGGTATGCCTGATAAACGCTATGGTGAAGTACTCTGTGCATGGATTAAACCAAAAGCAGGAATGAAAATTAATAATGTGGAAGAAGTGAAAAATTTTCTTGCATCAAAAGTGGCTTTCTTCAAAGTGCCAAAACACGTGAAAATTGTCGAATCATTTGCACCTTTTACCACACCAACTGGCAAAGTACAAAAATTTAAATTGACTGAAGCAATGGTGAAGGAAGCTTCAGTAACAGCGTAACCTATGTCAAAAAAGTCTTGATACAAAAAGTTATGTTAATTTTTTATTTCAACTAATTAACAATATTGATTAACTGTTTTTTCGTATGAAAGAGCAAAGACAAAACTGTAGAAATCTATGAAGAACACGCACTATAAGGTCCATGATCGTCGATTTTTCGTAATTGTTTCCTTATCCCTGAAAATATTGATTGGACAACTTTTACATCAAATTCTTCTATTTTTTCCATAATTCTTTGTTTCAACTGATGAATATTTTCGACTTCCCACCCTTCGTCGTAAACCATATTGTTGAGTATAGACCATAAAGTTTCGATAGGACGAGCTTGTGGACAATTTTGAGAATTAAAATCTCGCGTCACAAATTGTACATTGTTTTGATCCAAATAACGAGTGATGCTATTGCTGTAATGAGATGAAGCTAAGTCAGACCAAAACAAAACCTTGTTCTTCGAATGATACATTGATTGAGATAAGTTACTTCATTAATAGCTTGTTGTTGTTCAGGAAAAAAAGGTGATGAGATTCCATTTGTTGATATTGCAATCCGAACTAAAACTTTTCGTTGATATTTTTGATTTCGTTTAAATTTTACTTGTGGTGGTGTCTTTCCTTTGTCTGATGAGTAAAATCCACGATTAGTTGATACTGATTCATTAGATAAAGTAAAATATTTTTCGTCATCTATAATAAGTTGAAAGTCATTGACCATATTAACATCCGATACAGTCAACGTGCTCTAGTTAGAACTTCTTCTAATTGTTTGTCGATATATTTTGATGATCTTTGTTTTTTGCGGTATTTAATGTTCATTTCTCTTAAATGAGTACGAATAGTTTCATGACTGACTGGAAATTTTAATCTTAATCGATGTAAAGAAACACTTGTCTTGTGATTTACAAGACGTTTCAGTCGAGTCAGTTGTCCTCGACATCATTTTCTCGGACGTCCAGATCTTGGTCTATCGGTGATATGACCTGATTCATCGTATTTTTTTATGATAATTATATATAATTTGACGTGGAATTTTTTCTGTCAAGAAGTGATTTACGGTGACGTTTTTCTTCTTATCAGCAATATTGACATAGAATTGTACAATACGCTTTTGAAGACTCTCTTTTCGACTTTGTCATTTTTAACGATTTACTTCATATCAACGGTTTTCATTCAAATAGTGATAGCTCTTGTGACGGTCTCTCAGCCAACATATAATTGAAAAAAAACAGATGCCGCTAGCGATGATTAAAAGTTGATTAATCTTTGTACCAAGGCTTTCTTGGCATGGTTAATAGATTGTGTCAATCTCTTTTCTTTTACATGTTTTTATAATATTTTATAATAAAAAAAAAGAAAAAACAAAGCAAAATAAATGAGAGAAAAAAGGGGTCTGTCATCCGTATATTTGCACTGTGGTTCTTATCGGTTGTTTCGTTCTTTTCGAATATCTTATCTTTCTTCTACGGTAACACTCGTTGTTTGTTGTGCTCTATCGTATATCTTTTATTTTTTCGAAAGTATATAGATATCGTTGCGCATTTACAGTTTCTTCACTCTGTGACCAACTGAGAAGAATATTTCATTCTAGACTAGTTTTCTATCCATCGCTATGTCGACGACGACAGCAATAACACCCGTATTTGATCAAACTGTTGCTGCAACTTATGTCAATCTTGCAGACGAACGTGTTGGCACTCAAATCGTGTCTGTTTCGGATGAATTCTTTGCGGCAGCTGTTCGTATGCTCGATCCGAAACCGGCTGTTTTTCACCCTGGACGATTCGACGATCATGGTCAATACATGGAAGGATGGGAAAGTCGACGAAAACGTGTCGCCGGCTACGACTGGTGCATAGTACAATTAGGTTTACCCGGGAAAATTGTTGGTGTTGACATTGATACTAGTCACTTTACTGGAAATTATCCTGTTGCTGCTTCTCTTGATGCGTGTTACGTTAAAAACGGAGAAAAGCCAGATCATTGGGAAGAGATTTTACCTGCCGTTACCTTGGGTCCAAGCGCTCATCATTATCATGGTATTCAAGTTAAAGGGAATTGGACACATGTTCGTTTGAATATCTATCCAGACGGTGGAATAGCTCGACTTCGTGTTTATGGCATTGTTCAAATTCCAGACGATCGATTGAAACAAGAGATTGATTTATTAGCGATTGAAAATGGTGGTCGCGCGATTGCTGCAAGTGACGAACATTATGGAAATCCTTGGGCATTGTTACGTCCAGGACGAGGTATTAACATGGGTGATGGTTGGGAAACTCGGCGACGACGTACACCAGGCAATGAATGGTGTATACTAGCATTGGGCAAACGTGGACGAGTATCACGCATTATAGTTGATACTGCGCATTATAAAGGAAACTATCCCGATCGATGTATTATTCAAGCAGCGAATGTAACCATCGATCATAGTAAATCTGTAGTCACTCAATCGATGTTTTGGCAAACGTTATTACCTGAACAGAAGTTATCAATGGATGCTATTCATACTTATGAAAAGAATCAGTTGAATGATTTAGGTCTAATAACTCATATACGAGTGAATATTATACCCGACGGTGGCCTTTCGCGTGTTCGTCTCATCGGACGAGCTGAATGAGATGGGCAAGAGATTGATATAGTTTCAATTTCGTGATCATTTAGATTTCTTCCGTAATATTGTTTTATCACAATAAATAGTCATTATCTTCACATGAATCATCGATCGTACACATACGGATTGGATTATAGCTGTTATTGTGAATCATTAGATAAATATGTCAATAAGCTGGGCTACCCCATATTTTCATATATCGTTAATTAGTATTGCAAAAGATGAAATGAGTCACATAAACATATTGGCATATATTTTCCTTGTAACTAGAAAGAGAAAACATTAAAAAATCAGCTTGATGACTCATCCGAAAGTATGAGTTGTGTATTGTGCAATACCAAACGCGTAAATAGGCAGTCGACATCTCTTTTCATACAGCAAAGCTGTGTCGACAGAAATTGATCATAAATTATTCACCGGTAAACAATGACGGACGAATATCTTCCAGTCTCAGATCTGAATGAAGCAAGTGGTGAGGTTGAAGAAAGGGAACTATTAGTGACTAATAAAGGTACTGACTGATAAAACTGAGTGTTGCTTCTTATCGACTACTTGTATCGAATCATTTAGATGATCAGGAAACATCAATTGTTAATGAAAACGGTTACGAGTCAGAATGTAGCTCAAGTTCACGTAGTGAACACGACATAGCATCTGCAGCTTTGGAAGTGGAAGCTGATGCATTTACAAGATTTATCGAGCGACAACGTATGGAAGTTATGTTTGAATTACGTCGTTTACGTTTAGGCGAACGGCCAGTAACAGGTCAACCTAATCGAGAACGAATCGAGACATTTCTCAATAACATTCAAGACCATCAACAAGACGCTCGAGTACCAGCTGCACGACCGCCAATACCTAGTGCACGCATGGCTGATATCAATTCATTAGCAGACCGTCGTTGTGTTTCGCTTGCTTTGAGCAGTGCTGCATTTCGGCAAGATCTGGAAAATGCTGTGCGACAGTCTATTCGCACAGTTCCAACTCCAGTTGTTGTTCAACAACAGCCGCGTCCACACGTTGCGCCAACTGCTCTTGTTCAACAGCCACGTTCACAGGTGACACCAATTGTCCCTCCAGCTCCTACACCACAAGTCCAACCGTCTCATAATACACTCAACGTTGAAAGGTATTTTACATGAAATATTCATTTATTTCATGTCCTTGGTTCCTATTCTAGACGCGAACGAGAAATCGATGCTTGGCAAGCTATTACTCAAATGCAACGTGAGCGAATTATTGTCGAAATTAGTGACTTAGTCCATCGTCAATTGGTGACAAGTGCTCTAGAGAGTGACTTTCGTCGACATTTAGAACAGAACGTTCTGGTAATCTTTCGTACATTTCCTATATGTCTAAAATTAATTCGATATTTTCGATTGACAGAATCATATCGCGCACGATGCACCTGCTCCGCAAGAACAACTGACAGTGCCACGAGCTGCCCCGCAACTTCGAACAACCGCTACAGCTGCCGTCGCACAAGCTGTAAGAATTTTCTTTGAATAACAACACGTTCTTATCCTTTGCTAAATTTATAGTCTACTTCGAATATCGATGCATTATCTACTCGTCTTGATTCTATGCAACAAATGCTTCAAATGATGTTCACTATGCAGATGGACATGCAACGATCATTACGTCAAGAAGTTGCAAGTGTTTTAGCTCAACAGACTACTACAACAACGAATGCATCAACTGAACCTATGGCTTCGGGTCGTTGTACAATTTGTTTAACTGCTACTGCTGACACTGTTCTTTATCGGTGCGGCCATCTTTGTGTTTGTTACATGTGTGGATTACAACTGCAACAACAAACATCTGTTCATGGCATTAAATGTCCTGTATGTCGAGCTCCAGTCGACGATATTCTTCGTGTGTACCGAAGTAGTCGTGATGGAGAATAAATCTCTCAAAAACAAATATTCAATTCCCTGTTTTCTTCTCATTTTCTTTTCTTGTACAAATAAAGCGACATCAAAATGCAAAAAAAAATAAACGATACTTTTTGTACATCTTAGAAAACGAAATCACCAGCTTGTTTTTGTTAGAGAGAAGGATCGAATTCGGTTCCTGTCCGGGAAGAATCAAGCTCGACTTGAGCGACTATACAAGTGAAAGACTTTCTAACAAAAACGTTTCGTGCAATCGGTTTTCTAAGCGCTTTGTTAAGCATTTATTCGACCATACAATAGTTCTAAAATATACATGACCAAAATGGTTTATTTTGTTATTCTACATCTTGTGCCATTCGTGAGAAATGTTGATTAACTACAGTAAAGACAGAAAATGTTTTCAAAAAGTCAAAGTCAATTAATTTCGAACATACAGTATTGTAAATCTTTGAGATATTTTATCAATTCTTTGTCGTTGTCGAGAAGTATTCCATCGGATTGCGACTCATCGTCGTTGATGAAACTATTGTTTACAACTAAGTATCCCACGTTATCATTTTCTTGTTCATCATCATGAATTGATTGTTCTCGTGCTAATTCGTCTAAAAGACGATTGGCAGTTGTGATAAGTTTCTCCTGTTTCTCATCGACATCTAAATCAATTTTTACGTTAAATGAATTTGAAAGAAAATTCTAAAGTCAGTCTTACGGTAATCGATCGGCGTTGCCAAAAGCAACGAGCAAGTACAGAAGATTGCCAGTAGACCAAGTGAAAAGAAGTGCATTGTTTAGCTTTCGTTTGAACACAGATCGATATGTGCAATATAAAAATGAGATCTTGAAAAGAAATAATGACTTTTTATATTCTATATTTGAAATGACAATCCCATGTGTGTTAAAAACAGAAGAGAAACACACAAACAAAGAAAAAGAGTGTCATACGCTGATGCGTCGTTCTCTTAATGAAGATATTGCGTTTATTTCTTTTGCCCTCACATATTTCATCTTTTGACGAGCACCAGAGCCTATGCTTGAAGTTTTTGCAAAAGATACCATCGTAATTCGAGTTTATCTTATTCATAAATTCCGTTATATATTAATGAAAGCTAGTTATTTATATCGTGCATGATTTTTCTTTGGATTATCCCATCAACATTTCTGTTTAATTTCGAGAGTTTTTGTCGTTCGATAAGTTTTATGCGCCTTCAA